TAGGCTTTCTGATCACAGTTAAGGTGTTCCTATAGACCAAGGCTATACTACCACCACCCCCGCCCACTTTCCCTCACCTGCTCGATGACTGAGTACCCAGCTGGGAGAGCCTGTGCCCAAGTCGCGGAGCTGGCATCCCCCAGCCAGGTCTCAGTGAAGCATGCCAGGTCGGTGAAGCATGCCAGAATATAATTTCCTGTGCAGAAAATATTGTTTTCTGTGCAACAAACCCACGTGAAATTTGCACAAAATAAGTACCCAATTACTACTTTTTCTGCACAGAAAATAGTATTTTCATGCAGAAATATTTTCTGAACAAAAAATGCTTTTTCCAGTGTAGAAAATGCTACTTTCTACACATAAAAAACCACAGACAAATTTTGTGCAGAATAAGTCTGATTGTGAATAATCTTAGAATTCAAAGATATAGAGCCATGTTAGTCTGTCGAATCAGTATGTAGAGAGATCTTGTAGCACCTTTGAGACTACCTGAAAGAAATTGCAGCATGAGCTTTCATAGACTTCATTCTACTTCCTCAGATGCATTAGTTTTATATTTATTCTTTATTTCAAGGATTTATATCCCTCCTTTCTCCCACAATGGGATTCAAAACGGGTCCTAAAAAACTGTTCAGCAGGATTTTCTCACCATGGGGCAAAAATTGTTCAAATTACTTCTTGCTTCCTGTGAGAATAAAATTAGCAAAGAATTAGCTCCCTAAATCCCACATATGGGGAGGAAGATAACAGAAAATCTGCAAAAGAAAGAGAGACACTAGCAGAATAAAGTCCACAAAAACAATGATTCTGACAGTGTAGAAGAAAGTATAGCACTTAAAACAACAAAAGAAACAAGGAATGGAAGGATGGTTCAATGCCCAGCATATTTGGATGATTATGAACCATAAAAAATTAGAGTACGCCAGCAGTAAAGGCTAGGTCTCTGTAGTGGGCTATGTGCTTGTTACCCAAAGTTCCAACCACCAAATAAACATATTTTGGGATATAAGAAACCATTGTAGTGGAAAGTGTCATAACAGGTATAGGCCCACGGTTGCCAGAGTGAAAAATGGAGACATTTCCTGTCACTTTGTGGTTGTGTAGAAGAGGTAGCCAATATGGTGTAGTGGTCTGAGCATAAGACTAGGACTCTGGGGATCAGGATTCAATTCCCTGCTTGGCCAAGGAAACCCACTGTGTGACTTTGGCAGAGTCAGCCCCACAAAATCTCATGGATTTATGGCCTTAGTGTCACCATAGGTCAGAAACAACTTGAAGGCACACAACAACAAGAGCAAGAGGGAAGCCAATGTTTCTTGTTACCTGGTGGTGTGCCAAATGACACCTGATAACATTTCCTCTGCTATGCAGTCATTAAAAAGATAGTTTTCACTCTGGCAAACCTATGATTCAGAGGAAAAGCCAGCAGTAGTAAGAGGATGGAAATTGAAGGGGATTCAGAAAGAGTATCTGAGGACAGTGGCATCACTAGGGGGTATGGGGTATGTGGACTGCACCGGGTGACACCACTTCTCCTCAAATACCTACCTTTTGGCAGAAATGGGCTGTGGCATTCATTTGTATCTCTTTAAAATGATTTAAGAGATGCTAGGAGTGGGGTGAATCTCAGTGGGAGAAGAAAGGGGAGGTCCCAGAATTTTTTAAATTTCAAATTTCAAAATCTGAAATTAAAAATGAATTTTTAGAATTTTTGAAATTCTTTTAAAATTTTCTTTAAAAACATCACATTTTAACCAACTCTTCACTATGTATATGTAAATACATTTAGGCTGTGTGTACGCTATTGTAATTTGAAGGTGTAATTTTAATTTTGCTAATTGTTTTATGTTACAACTATTAGCATTACATTCAGTGGTATATAGGAATTATGATTTATGAGTAACATTTGTGCAAAAAATCATTACTAAGGATTCTGTATGGTGTGAAATGGGAGAAGGTCAATGGAAGGGGGGTGACACCATGAGTTACCACACTGGGTGACACCAACCCTAGGGATGCCACTGGATGAGGAGCCACTAACACTGCATGTGGGTTAGGAAGGGATAGTAGGTCCAATAACTGCTCTGAAGGACTAACACTAAATAGAGTATTCTGTTCACTCTAAATAACATATTCTGTTCATGCTATATGAGCATTGTGCTTTAATTATATAAGCAAGGTCGTACTTAACAGTAGTACCATGCAATCTACAGGCAGAGGCTTTGAGCCCTGGTATGTTATGCACTATAATATCTCAGTGCTGGATTGGAAGATCACAAGCTGATGCTAAAATGAAATGGCTCTTCTGTGACTTGTGGCATGTATCCAAACAAGAGAAGATGGTCAGAAGCTGCTGAATATAGTTCTTGCTGCTTATCTTCTCTATAGGATCTGGGGGGAAATGGGGATGGAGGGTGGGCAGGGTTATTTCTGCACTGCGATCATAGGTGGAATATGCAAGCTATAACTGGGTTGTTACATAGAAACAATGTGGCTGTTCTTTAAAAGAATCACAAGGCAAGTATTGTACATTTGCCAGAAGGTGGCAGCTTTAGACCATTCTCAAATGAACATTTCCTCTCCTTTTTCATCCTTCATAGGATGGCTATTAATGCAGGTTCTAAGACATTCAGGCCAGGGACCATCCAAAGGATGGTTTTTAAAATGATTTATTTTCTTCTATAATCTTGATGAAAAATGACCTTTCAGAGATTGAGTAATATGTTTGGTCCCATTTGGCTGCAATCTGAATACAAGGGCCACTAATTCAGGATGCTGGTACTTTTAAAAAACTTGGCCAATTTACAAGATGTGACTTTTAGAAACATTAAAAAAATTACATCTTCATGTAAAATATTCATAGCAGTGACCCTGGAACCTGGAGCTGAATTTGAATAGCCATTTCAAATACTGTTGTCTCTGAATACAAAATAGTAAATTTAGGACCTTGGCTCTTTGATTGTATTAATTATCCCTCTCCTCAGTTTCAGATAACCAGCTTTGGTAATTTTTTGTTCTTCCTATCATAGACATGTAGAGGGGAAAATAAAATACTGAGAGAATTACACAACTGTTAAGACTAGGATGTACACAAAGATAACCTACTCTAATGTTGGTCAACAAGTCCTGTGTATGAGACAGGGAGAAATGAAGAGGAATTCAGTCTCTCTATAGCAGGGGTAGGCAACCTTTCCCCTTTAAGGGCCGAGGGACTTCAGCTCCCAGAAGCCTCAGCCATGTTGGCCAATAGTCCCATGTTGGCCAATAGCTCCTGGGATTTGTGGAGCTGAAGTCCCTCGGCCCTTAAAGGGGAAAGGTTGCCTACCCCTGCTCTATAGTTTTGTTGTTGTCATGTGCCTTCAAGTCATTTCCGACTTATGGTGACCCTACCATGGGGTTTTCTTGGCAAGATTTCTTCTGAAGAGGTTTGTCATTGCCTTCCTCTGAGGCTGATAGAGTGTGACTTGCCCAAAGTCATCCAATGGTTTTTATGACTAAGCTGGGAATAGAATCCTGGTCTTCAGCATCAGAATCCAACATTCAAACCACTATGCCACACTGGCCCACTTTATAGCTACAGAGGCTGAATTTCTTCCTCTCTCTCCTTCTCTATCTTATAGGTCTCAGAAGACGGCAATGACAACCCCCTCTTTGAAGAAACCTGCCAAGAAAACTCCATTATAGGTTTGCCTTAGGGTCACCATAATTCAGAAACAATTTAAAGGTACACAGCAACAAGAACAACTTTATAGGTGAGTCCATAAACTCCCCTACACGTGAGCAAAATATATCATAACTGCCTGTTCATACTGTAAGTCGGCCACACATGACTTGCGGCTCATCTATATTTCCCAGAATACTCCAGAGTTCCCTGATCCCAAATTCCACCCCTTACCAGTTACAGCAAAATGCAGTGATGATGGATGGCTGCCTTCCCAGGCAGTCCCTGTAAGCTTGTTACTGCTGGTGGTGGTGCAAGTTGCTCAGAGGTCAGAATGAAGTGCCTAGCCTCATTCTGACCTCAGAATGACTCAAACCCACAGAGCAACTTGTCAGGGACAATAGCAGGGAACATATGGGGAGGCAGGTACTTGTTGTTGCTAGGTTTTGTTCCCAGTTTTCTGGAAAACCTGGAGCAAAATGTATGTCTTTTTAATGGGGGACAAGGGGTGGAGAGCCTGAATTGGATCTGGACATTGTGTAAACAGCCTGGATCCAATCTGGAAGTTTGGATTTGCATGGTGTAAACAGCATACAGCCAGCCCTGGGGGAATTCGAGGTATATAGGTAATGTAGATAAGCCCTTAGATATCTTCCCCGACCACATACTCTTAGAAGAAATTGCTGTCTGGTCCAAAATGTTAGCTCTAGATGTCCAGATAGATCAGACCTCCTCCCCCCCCCCATACACAGAACAGCTGGATTAGTAAAGATAAGCTTTGCAGAAACCCTTTTATGCCAAGAAATACACATTTGAACACTGCTATGGGAGGAACATTTCCTGTGACATGAAATCCTCAGTGATGTAGCTGCATTTACTGATCACTAGTCTTTATGACAGGAAGAGTAAAATGTAATTTAGTGCTCCATTATAGTTATCCCTAGTACTTTCCTGCTATTATATGGATGTGGAAAATATTTCTGGTAGTGATTGAAAACTATATGCTTACTAAAGGTACATTGAAAAATGATATGATTGGATAGAATTGCAACGTTAAGCCACAGAAATCAGTGAGATACATGTCTGAATAATTACAGATATGACCAATCTTCTGATTCGTTTCTCTTTTTCTTTTCTTAAAAAAATAAACAAGAGATGGAAAAGGAATTTCCCCCCCCCCAAAAAAAAGAATGGAAAGGATAAAGAAACCTGTGTATTTTTTCCTTAAAAAAACACCCTCTGGATTTTAGTTATTGCTTCTGTCATGTTAGCAGAGGCACCCACAATTGTCAGAGAAATCATTTACTTGACAGGAAATATGGCAGTTGTGAGTGTCAGGAAGGGGAGAAAACTGAGCTAATGGTCCACCATGAATTTTTTCTCTCAAAGCAGAATTAATTCTGTCAACAGGAGTGATGTGTAAGGATTGCCTATGCTATGCTATGGCACAGTTGCCTATATGAAATATAAATAATCAACAGATCCATATGCTCTTTTGTTGAAATAACCTGGCTGGAAAACAAGTGAGCTGAACAATATTTCTAAAAGTTAGACCAATGAAGAATGTTGGGCTGCAATAATAATAATAAAAAAAGTGGCTTGGAAGAGTTCAGAGACAGAAATACAAAGGTGTCCTATATTTCTTGAATCCCCTCCTTGCCCCAGGCCAGAGAAGTTGCAGAAAGTACAGCCTCAAAGGCAGCAAGTATGCTTCTAGCTCCAAGTTCTGTACATTTTCTTTCCAGAAAAAAAAAGATAATGAACAGAAACAAAGACACTTAACATTTTGCAAAATGTAATGCTCCTATGCAGAAGGGAGATCTTCTAGGAAGGCAATCTGCAGATGCTCACCTTGGGGGAGGAGGAAGTCTAGCCAGAGCAACCAGGTTTCAGACAGTAATGGACCCACAGGTACATCCTTCTCGTAGGTTTATTCACCTCTTGTGACTACTAGCAATCTTCTGCTCACAGCCTGGTGTACAAAGCATCAAACCTGTAATGCAGGCTTCCAACAGGTGTGGGATCATGACAATACTGAACATGGACCAGCAGCCTTGATTTATAATGATGACAAAAACCTGCTAGGCATCCATGTCTCTCATAAGATCACAGAGAGCATCCTTCATGGAGACCATGTGAATGTTTCTGCCCTCGGAAGTCTGGGACAAAAGTAGAGTGAGGAGAACCCAAGAACAGGGGAAAAGGGAAAGTGCCTCCTCCCCAAAAAGAGG